GGGGGACGGGGTCTGCAGGGTTTACCTGGTTGTTTGTCAAACAAGGAAGCGCACTGTGGCTGGCCCGTTCGCCTGGTCCGAGCAACGGCAGGCAGGGCCTTTCCTGCTGTTCTTGGAAGGCAGGCCCAGTAGTCTGCAGGCTGCTCACGCCCCCATCGTATTTTTCTCACGGGGACTTTCTTACATACATTCACAAGCAACCCCTGCCTCGCCGGCCGGGCCGGGCCGGCCTGTTCCCTGCCATGCAACCTTCACAACTGCAGCTGGCAGGCTTCCAAGTCCCAGCTTACACACCTCCCTGGGGTTGACTATTGGGACTCACCCAGCTCCAAGGCACTGGAGTGTTGGGAAACGTCACCATGGGCAGGGGGTGTCCTGCCTGCAGGGGAGCCTGACAGGGCTATTGGAGGGCCCTGACCCAAGGGGTAAGGAGCCTCCCGTAGCTCTCTGGCCATCACCCACCCCCCACCCTCTCCTTCTCCCAGCGGTTTCCAGTTTTGTGGAAGGTCCCAGGCAGATCACTTGTGTCCCAGCGATGGAGGCGAAACCCCAGCACGTGTGGCAGATCATCGCTCCTTCTTCCGCACGCAGAACATGGCTCACAGCCTAGGCTGTAGCTCTGGCCTGGGAACATATGACGGACCTCCTGTGCCAGACTCAACACTGGGAATGTGAGTTCCCGAGCCCCGCAACAAGGCCAGGCCTGTGGGGACAGGCCTCACTGGTCTTGACGCCCAGCCTAGGGTGTAGTCAGGGGAAGGAGTGAGACTCCAACTTCAACATCTGTGACCTCAAGGGGGAGACAGAGTCTGGGTTCGGAGGGCTGCTGTCTCCTGGCTAATAATCTCCAGCCAGCTGCAGGGAGGAAGGGCGGGCTGGGGCCACCTAGCCTTTCCCTGCTGCCCAACTGGGTGGAAAATAAAAGCTGCTCGTGTTCTCACTGCTTTTGAGGCTGTTTCGTTACCATCAAGGGCTTTTCCATTGAGGGAAAAGGGAGAACAGAGCGGATTCATCCAGGGTACTTGACAGGAGGGTGTGGAGGCAGGAGGCGGAAGGGGCAAGTCCTCCTCTGGGCACGCCCAGGTCCCCAGGACTGCTGAAGCCCAAGACCCGAGGGGTGGCCTGGCCCTTACTCCTGGCCTGTGTGGACTCTCATGGGGCTGGTGGACATGATGGCCTCACCCTGGGCCCATTTCCGCAGAGCCAGCCTCATCGGAAGACGGCTGCAGCGCCCTGCGGGGTTTTGCTGTCGCCCACTGGTTCCTCCAGGCCCCGCACCTCCAGCCATCCACTGCGGCGCTCTCGCGCTCAGTAGGCTCGGAATCTGTTTGCGCTGGGCCCGCAGCAGGCTCGAGTATGCCCGCGCGGTGTCTACCGCGAGAGATCTTGCCGCAGCTGCGCTTATGATCAGAGAGGAAAGAGGTCAGCCAAGTAGTGTCTGAGTATTCTGTGCCGCCTGTGGTTGGGAGCCTGTGGAGTGTAACAAGGTGTGCATGTCTCAGCACGAACTAGGCTGCCGCGCCCTCTGGGGCAGAGCGCGGCGTGCGTCTGGCCCGCCACCCCTCCTCCCAGTTATTGTCGGGGCCGCTAGGGCGTGCTCTCCACTCCACCAACCCAGCCCCCTTCCCAGCCTTCTTGCTTTGGCTGCAGCGGTCTGGATGGCCTTGTAAGGAAACAACCCCGATCGGTTGGCTAGGCTACTGGGTCTGCAAAAGCCCCAGCACTTTCGGCGTTGCAGGCCCCCAAGTCGCGGGCCAGATACGCCCTGGAGCGCTCAGGAGTTTGAGATCCATGCGCTGCGCGCCGAACACTGACGTGGAAAAAAAACGCCCATCTCTTAACCAAATATAAAAATTAGCTGGGCATGGTGGCCACGCGACTGCCTTAATCCTATTGCTACTCAAGGGATTGGTTTCTATGAATCCGCATGCTAATTGTTTGTCGGGTGGTTATTGTCGGCGGTTGTTAGCGTGAAGCCAGCGAGAGCTTGTTCTTTGAACCCCAGGCAGCGACGCGATGCGCTTACTAGTGCAGCCCCATACGACTGCTTGCCCGACTGCCGACTCCCCCTAGCCGCTCGGCGCCAGCAGAGTGAGACTGTCCATGAGTCGCCAGAGTCTTCAAGAATAACAATAAAAAAGCTTATATATGTGTCAGCTATTAGCCCCCCTGAGCCATGATGGCGTGCAAGGATGCAGCGTGTCCTTAGTTCCCAGCTACTCAGCGAGGCTCCTGAGGTGGGAGGATCACTTGAGCCCTGGAGGTTTGAGGCTGCCAGTGAGCTCATCCGATCGGACTGCCATCCTGCACGCTCTCAGTGGCGCTGCCCAGCTAAGTGGAGATGAGGACGCCTGCTTGTGCAAAAATATAAAAAACTGTT